GTAAATTTATATAAATTTTGACAATAAATGTAAGAATTAAATATAGATTAACTTTTAAATCAGAAATCCCTAGTAACTGACATCAATAACACATTAGAGTTATTTAAGCTTGTAAGGATAAAGGTGTATGTTCATAAGTAAACAAAGAGCTGTGCTCATTTTTTCCTGCACTTAATTTATTATTTTAGTATGACTGAGGATAAAAATCAGCATTGACGAGAAAGCACTGATTGCCTATAAAGATATCCTGAGGGATTCCAGATTTGGTTTGGTCCATGTAAGTCACTCATATTATTATATACTAAGCATATTAGTAAGCATATTAATATACCTTCACAATTTACAGTGATTGTGTTAGGCTGGCTATAGGCTTATAAAAGCACTTAACCAAGATTAAAATTTTTCTCTCTTTATAGCCTATTTGATTATGATAACTGATCATAATAATTTATAGGAAATGTACAGAAAAGTTAGCTCTATCAAAAGAAAGATTAGTGGTTGCCTGGGGGTAGAAATGAGATTAACTGTAAATGGGCCTTCAGGGTGTTACTGGGGTAATAAAAATGTTCTATAATTGGACTGTGGAGATGGCTTCACAACTTGATAAATTTACCCAAAACCATGCCTTGTATACCCAAAACACAAAATTTGGAGTGCTAAGTGAGTATCAACAAAGTGGTTTGGAAAAGCAAAAAAAGATGCAGTAGGGAAGAAAATGTACAACAATGAATAAATGGAAATCCAAGTTTTCTGTAAACTTTCATGAAAATATCAATAAAAATGTAAAAAGAAACCAAAACCAAATCCTTTCTCTTGGAAATAATAATAAGTTATGCATTCAGCATTGTTTTAAAAAATCTTAGTTAAAGCTACATTTTGAAATATATTATTATGAAGTACTTATTCTATTAATTTGCTATTTAAAAACATACCTTAGGCAAGCCTGTTCTTTTTATCACACTAGGAACTATACATCTTGGACCAGTTTCTCCAGCAAATCCACACCTTTAAATAATAGGAAAAGTAACACATTTTATTTAACTTTTTTCTATATTCTTTTACAGAGCAAGTTGTTTTATTGTTTCAACACATTAGTCAGGGAAACATCTGTAAAGAACTCTAATATACTTGAAAGAAGAAAAAAGCTAAGAAGTTAATACTGATTCAGAGCTGAGGGAACTCTGGTGCCAAGAGAACATAGAGAGCTTTGCTTGTTTGGATTCACCAGCCGCTATGAGGAAGTTAAGAAGGGCAATTTCCTCCAAAGTGTTTTATAGCCATCTGAAAACTCGCTGATGGGTCTGCTATGAAATGGTTCTGACTCAACAGCAATGGCTTTTAGCCTTTTAGTGATAATTGTTATGTTGCCAGCTGCTGTTAGGTACCATCGAGTGGGACTCAAAGGTAACCCCTGTGGCAGGTTTTCAAATCCCACTGAAGGTGATTGTCCCTCTTCCTCCTGCTTAGCAACTGGTCAATTCAAACTGTGTTTCTTTGGACTGCCAGCAATGCTCCTTACCACTAAGTCACCAGAGTGCCATACTGAAGGAAAATGTTAAAATGACTTCAAAGTTTGCTGTTGTTATGTGCCATCTAGTCACCCGTGATTCACAGCAATCCTATGTACAACAGCTCTGAACCCTGCTCTGTCCTGAGCTAGTCTCACTAACTCCAACACACCTAACCCCACTGCCCCAGCTGCTATATCATCTGTCTCATCTGGGGTCTTCCTCTCCTGCACTGTCCCTGCACCCTTCTGAGCATGATGCCCTTCTCCAAGAACTGGTCCCTCCTTTTCTGAAGGAATGACTCCTTTCAACAATCCATATTATGCCCACAATATTGAGATAACGTTTCATCATCCTTGCCTCTAATGAGCACCCTGGTTGCACTTTCTTCAAGACTTATTTGTTCTTTTGACAGTCCATAGGATATTCAGCACTCTTTTCCAACACCACGATTCAAAGGCATTGATTCTTTTCTGCCATAGACAGTTATCATTGATATTTATTAACTGTCTGATGAACAGCAAGTAAATGAAAAGAGCATGGCTTGAATCAGGTGCACCTTAGTCTTTAAACTGATACCGTTGCTCCTTAGCACTCTGAGGAAGTCCTTGATAGCAGTGCCCCTCAAATTCCTGAAGATACAATCTGTTGGGAACTTCAATTCTTTTTTCATCTCACATATTCATCTTATCTATCTGTGGCATTTCTCAAGGTATAATCTAATTATCTTTGGGTGATAGCCTCAATGTATACATTTATCATGCTACTAAAAACAAATAAATGGGTATTTACAAAAATCTTGTACAGAACAGTATGAGAGGATCATAAACTAAATGCTATGTTCAATCCAATTCTGGAGCACCAGTGGTCCATTTTTTAAACAAGTAGTTTTGACTAGCCTATTTAAAAAAGAGGAAGACCTTCAACCAGACAGATTTGACACAGTACTGCAGCAAGTGGCTCAAGTGTGTTAGAGATGATGAGGATGGCACAACATAGCACAGGGTTCAGGTGTGTTGTTCACAGGGTTGCTGTAAGTCATACTTGACTTGATGGCACCCAACAACATAAGAACAATTTAAAAATCACCTAGCTGTTTATCCAATATATAGCTATTAAAGTTCTACTATGCTTTAGTATGTGAGCATTGGTGGTATAGAACATTACATACTGGTCAGTGGTTGGAATTCACCAGCTGTTTCATGTGAGAAAATAGGCAGCCTACACCTGTAAAGATTCACAGCCTTGGAAACAGAATGGAAATCTATCATGTGTTGGAATCAACTGGATAGTGGTGGGTTTTTTACCTTGGTGTGATTGGAGCCTTTGGGCTGTGGTGTTGCAGAAGAACACTGAACATAACTATGGACAGCCAAGAGAATGAACAGGTATGTTTTGGAAAGGGTGCAGACAGAGTGCTTTTTTGGAGACTGCTATCAAGAATGGTGAGGCTTTATCTCACATACTTTGGGTATGTTTCTAAGAGGTGCTTATTCCTTGATGCTGGGAAGGGTGGAGGGGCAGCAAAGGAAAAGAAGAACCTCACCCAGATGGATTGACATAGTGACTGCTGCAGTGTGCTCTTATGTATCAGGAAGAGTTAGGATGGCACAGGATAGAACAGGTTTCAGATCTTGACTGCATAGGATCATTATGAGCTGTGCTCGACTTGACGGTACCTAATAACAGCAACAACATAAGTGCCCTGATGGCCTAGTGTCTAAAGTCTTGGGCTGCAAACTAAAAGGTCTACAGTTTGAATTCATCAGTCACTCTGGAGAAAGGCAGGCAGTGTCCTTTCTTAAAAATTTACAGTCCTGGAGATCTGATGGAAAGTCACTATGAGTTATAATTGATTCTACAGTAGGTACAAGACAGAGTTGCTATGAGCCATAGTCAACTCAATGACATATAATAATATGAAGAAGAATAACAACAACATAGTTTAGTTCCTGAGCGGCATATATGGCTTGTGCTGGACTCCTAATGTAAATGTCGGTGGTGTGAACCCTCCAAACAACAATGAGAAAGAAAGGCCTGGCAATTTGTTACCATAAAGATGGTTACCAATTCTATTCTTTTAACACATACGGTTTCCATGACTCAAAATGAACTATATGATAATGATACAAAACCAAAATTTTTTAAAAAGTAAGTTATGTTTTGTCACGCTGAAACAACTCATAATTTGACCCTCCAATGGTTTTCATGTACTTCTGAGTTGGCAGGGAATTCTTGACCCCCAACCCACCAAGCTCCCTAAAAGAAAATTTAGTAGGTATTTTTCAAATGCACTTTGCCTATCACTTTCATCCCTCTGGAGGCCATGCTCTTAACCTGGGTCCAAGACCTAGTGGTACCCCAACAGCCTTCAGAAATTGTGTGCAAATATTTTAAGTTAAGATAATTTGTCACTTTCATGCAGCCCTAAAAGGGATCTCACATGTAAAAGGCCGAAAATCACTACTCTATAGTGTTTACAAGCTGCCCTGTAACACATGTTAAATTTCCCAATGTAAGAGTTTAGGGGAGCCAATAAAAGATCTGCAGAGTCTACAAGGTTGATTTTTTTGTTTGTTTGCTTGTTTGTTTTTTTATCTCTTTGCTTATTCGTCGTCTCCCTAATTTGATTGCCTGCTCTTGCAGAGAATTGGGCCCTGAAGATAGTGATTGCCATTTTGTGTGTGTGTGTGTACACCATCTAATCGAATCTCACTGGTACAGGAGGAGATTGTTCCTCCTTCTCCAGCAGAGGATCTGGTGGATTCGAACTTCACACCTCTGGGATTGCAGTGCAGCTTCTTGCCACTAGGCCACCAGAGCTCCCTGTGATGGCCATTTTAAGCAGTAAAACTCGGTTCCTGCTTGCCTAATTTGACCAGTTCAAGATACAGTGAGTCTGAGTCACCCCAGCACAGATGATCCCAAAGCGTCTGTTCGGTTTGGGAGCCAACTCCAGTGCCACGTAAAGCAATTCTCCTAAAGCCTCCAGGACTCCTCAAAGCAGCCGACCATACCTGCCCACCAGTCCTCGGCATTTGCTTGTCCTACGCAGAAATAAAGAGACTCATCTGCAGACGGTAGTAGGGGAGAGGGTGAGGTGACTCTGCCATGGTAAAGGCGAGCTGCCATGGAAAGGCGAATCTAGCACCTGCCCTGTTACCCCAGTATATCCCATCCAACGTCCTATCCTTAAGCACCGCGGGCATTTACAGGCAGTAGCTGGGGTGTAGGAGATATTTTGTCACAAATTCAAGTGGGCGCCAGACCAGGTGCCGAATGACAGTTCTGAAGCAAAACAAACGTGAAATTTGCCAGGCTGAGGCAATGAGACAAGGGTGGGAAGCTTTTCAGCTGAAGTCTGTCACTATACTGGGGGCACATGCAACAATACAGACTGCACCTAGGAACTCAAATTGGAGGTAGGGGTACAACTTACGAGACTGCCCCGGGAGCTCCCTGCCCTCGCTACGCGCCTGCCTGCAAGCCTGCAAAGGGGACCCAGGACAGACCAAAGGCTGGCCCACCCGCCTTCCTCTCGGGCCCCCTGCGGCCGGCGCCGCGTCACTCACTTGGTAAAGGCCTCTCCCAGGTCTATCACGACGGCTGTTTTCTCCCCGCCGCTCCCCAGGCCCTCGTACAGCGGCATGACGGTAAGGAGGAGGGGGACGAGGATGACAAGTCGAGCACAAACCCGGAGGCCCACCAGCCTCCGCTCTCGGGGGCGGGGACCAGGGCGCTGCCCTGCGGGCGGTGTCGGCGTCGGGGGCTTCGTGCGGCCGCGGCGCGCCTGACTGGGGCTGGCCCAGGCTGTGCCTCACTCCGCGTTGGACCCAAAGCCTCGCACACACTCTAGTTTTGTAAACGTGAGAGGAAAAGGCTTCGAAGCTGTTCATCTAGGTCCGCAGAACACAAGGCACAAAAAAGGAAAACGATCAGGCGCGCGGGGCCAGCCTGTTCTCGGGTCCTTCCTGCTGGAGATGCAGGGAGGGAAGGGTGTGCATCCCTGCCGAGTGTGCACAAATCTCAGGTGCTATGCGCCAGTTGCTTTGCCTGTCATTTGATCTTCGCAAGCACTCCTGAGAAAAGGGTGTTTATTCTCTTACTTATTGAAAAATAAGTAAGTTAAAAAATTATTTTTTAACTTATTAAAAAATAAGTTAAGTCCCTTTCCCACCATCCCACAGCGGAGTCCGGAATGAACCTTAAAACTTTATGATTTTAAAGCCTGTATAGGTACAGAAAACTATTTGGTAGTCTTTCTGGAAGTTTTTACTTTGATCCAAAAGAAACAAAATAGTATCTACGCATTGTTTAATAGGCACTGCTTTGGTGTAAGAAAAATTGAACGAGAGTTTTCTGTTAATTCTGAATTTAAAGCGTGCAATGCCAGAAAAACTACTCAGCTTATATGCCAATATGAACACACAATAAGAATGCTAAAAAAACCCCCAAAACCACCAACAACAAAAAATAGAGCTTTTACACTTTTCTCTCTTTTTTTGGTACTATTTTTTAAAATTTATTATTAATTTCAATGAAAATTTACAGAGACTTTGGATTTCCATTCATTCATTGTTGCACTGTTCTCCCCTCCCAGCCCTCCCCCTAGAACTTTTACACTTTTATAGTTTCCACTGTTTTGTTTCTGTTGAAATTGTCCTTAAAACTACTGTTAGTCCAGTGGGTTGCTGCCTTAATCCCGTGATTATGGGAAGAGGAATGGCTTGTTTTTCTCTAATACATCTCTAATAAAGGAGATTGGAGAAGTTTTCAAGAATGAACTCCTATCTAAAACTTTCATATACATGTCTGATGAGAGATATGTCCACAAATAGTTCAGTGATGACAGAAGGCTTATTGGTTGGAATCTACAGAATTAAAAATGTCTTTGATCATACAATTAGCATTAAAGAATAGGCATGATATTTTATTTTGCTTTGTATATATGTGAAACTTGTACAGTGAATAAAGAAGACTGAAGCGGAATACATGCCTTTAAATTGTGATATTGGCAAAGAATAGTGAATATACCATGTTGTTGTTGTTATGTGCCGTCGAGTCGTTTGCAACTCATAGTGACCCTATGCACAACAGCCCTAAACCCTGCTCTATCCTGCGCCAACCGCAC